TGTTAAATGGACAAATTCCTTTGAAGGCTTGTCTTGCTTTGAAATCCAATTTCACAGGAAGCCAGATCTGATTGGGGGTAGCTATGGAAACCAAGCAGGGCAGCCTTTGAGGAGCTGAGAGATGCAAGGTAAAATGTGATAGTCAGAGTCCTTTACTGCTCTGTCGGAAATATCAAAGGATCTGGAGAGGTTGGCAGGAGACATGTCCCTGTTATGGGCTGTTCTGTGTGGCTGGGTACCAGGCGTCTGTCAGTGGAGGTAAGCAGCCAGCTGTCCTGTCACACAAGCTGCAGGTGGAGCTGAATACACAAAACCATAGCTGTACAGCCTTTAGAGTTCTTTTTTTTTCTCCTCTAATACACCAGAATCTCAGCTCTCCCCTCCCTGACATTCTAAAAGGTTAACAAAAGAGTAACAAGGTTAAACCACAAAGCCCTGGCTGATAACAGTCCTTTCAAGTGGCTGCACTGAAATTAATCTGAAATTTCTTGTAATTAGATAAGATAAGGATGTGCGTGCTCTCACATAGACCCCGGGATACCCTTTCTCTAGAGGCATTACACAGGATAAGAACAGGGGATCCGCTAAACTGGATCAGATTATTCATTCATTCAGACTGGTATCCCAGCATCTTTTGCACATCTCAAGACCTTTTGTTTGTCTAGTTTGATATTGTAGCTTTTCCTGGAGTGTGCTAGGCCACTGGTCTGTCCATATCAATATAACAGCTCTTGCCAGTTCAGATCACACTGTTTCTTTTGCCTTTCCAGTACAAACCATTGGTCCATCTCTTCCTGAATGTCAGCCCCTACAATTCCAGATCAGACTTTTGGTCCGTCCAGTGATATGTCCTGCTTCTGTCAGTGACCAGCGCTTTAGAGGAAGGCAATCCCAGACTGCATCTGGTCACTTGAATAATGTATTTTGGTTTACTGATCAGATATGCCAGGTTGAATGATGCAGTCTGATAATCCTAAAGATTATGTAATCATGTCATTTTTATTATCCAATATCTTATATGTCAGGAGCCCCTTCTGAATGAGTCATTCAGGAAAAACATGAATGTAAAGTGTCCTGCTTGGTCTTCTCCTCTTGTATTGCTTTGCTTACCTACCTCTCCTGCTCCATAAGTATCTGAGAGCTGTTCAGGTTCTTTGGGTGAATCTGATATCTTTTATTAGACCAACTAAATAGTTGGACAACAATTTTTAAGCAAGCTTTCGGGTTCAAAAACCCTTCGTCAGGCTAAGGATATTTCAGCACTTGATGTGTGCTCTTCCTGGATGGAATGGAAAGTAAAAAAGCCAGAGGCTGTGCTGGTATGCATACAAGACAGATAGTCAGTGAAAATGAGAGCTGTTCAACACTTACTGGAACCCAAGGAAAAGAATCAGCAGCAGAATCAGACTCTGAGTTGTAGTAACTAGACATGGCTCCACAGCAAAACTCTGCCCATTTCCAAACATCTTCAGATTTGCTCAGATCAAGATCCAAATTTTGCAGCTGGGAATCAAAGTAGATAAAATAATAACCCCAGATCTAAGCCTGAACTATAACTCAGAATGTCCTCAATGAAGTATATCTCCATTGTTATTAATGATTACTTGTATCGTGGTAGTAGAACAGAAACCCAGCCATGGACTGGTATCCTGTTGCACTAAGTGGTGCACAAGTAGAAAACAAAAAGATGTTTCCTGATCCTGCCTTACGGAGTTTACAGTCTGCAAAATTGGAACTCCTGCTCTGCCTTGGAATGCCAGACACCCAGCTTCCTTCACCTTCCAAGCACACTACAGAGTCCAGGTTTCCTACGTGTCTGTTGAAGTGGTTGAATATGTGAGTTGAAGTGAATATATTTATGGGCAAGCTTGTGTTCATACAATCGTAGGAAAGTATGGCTAGAAGGGACCTCGCAAGGTTATCCAGTCCAGCCTCCTGTGGAAGTAGGATCATCCCTGACTAGACCATCCCAACCAAGTGCCTGTCTAACCTGCTCTTGAAAACTTCCAAGGATGGAGATTCCAGAGTTTCTCTAGGTAGCCTGTTGCAATGCTTGACCACCCTCATAGTCAGATGGTTTATGATGTAATTTTTTCACTTGTGGGAGAGGTGTCCCAAGCGGAGTATGACACCTCCTCATACATACTTTAAATCAGTGGTACTCAACCTTTTGACCCTGTGGGGCAAATGAGTGGCACAGGGCCATTCTGTGGGCTGCATGAGGCCCCACGCTGCCTCTGCCTAGTCCTACATGCCTGGATCTGAAGTGTACTGCCCCCCACAACACCCCCCCCCCGCATGCTGGGATAGGAGCCCTGGGACTGTACCACCTCTGCCCAGTCCTACATACAGGGATTGGGCTCTGGGACCCTGAACTGCCTCTGCCTGGCCTCATGTGCCAGGATTGGGCCTTGCACTTTCCTGCATGTCAGATCTAGCACACAGGGCCTCAGTCTGCAGGGCTCCCCACAGACCTATAGGGACTCCTGTGGGCTGGATGACAAGGCACTGAAGGGCCCAGGGGTTGAACACCCCTGATTTAATAATGAATAAATACCCTTCCCATACTGTGATTAATTATATAGTATCTAAAGGCCCAAGCTCAAGTTGGGTTCCATTGTGCTAAGCTCTGCACAGCACACACTAAAAATCCTACCTTAAAGAGCTTATAGTGTAAATGGATGAGGCAGAGGTATCACTGGAAAGAAACCAATGGTGGAGACTCACCTAAGATCATACACAGACCAGTGACAGAGTGTAAGTCTCTCTAGACTCGGGGCAAGTAGTGGTTCATGCTGCCCTTCTACCAGTAACACCCATAGACACGAGTTCAAATTCTGCTCCAGTATTATGCTGTCACTCCCCCAAAACAGAGATATAAGTCAAAGCAGCACTTGCCCATGTTTAGTTTACACAGAGGAGAGGACAGCTTATTTGCTGGTTAGCCCAGAAATAGGAGACCTGAGGTCAGTTCCTTGCTTTGCTACCAATATTGTATATGGCCTTGGGCAAGTCACTTTGTCCCTTTTCCTCTCCCTGAGCCTCAGTTCCTCATTTGTCAAGTGGGGACAATAGCACTGTCCTGCCCCAGGAGTCATCATAAACATAAATACATTAATGACTGGATGGTGCTTAGTAAAGAAAGAAGTAGAATGGTGTCCTAGAGCAGCGTTCTCAACCTTTTTTGTATCAGGACCCATTTGTAAACATCAATGGCCAGTCCTGCCCCAGTGCCCCTTACTCCCAACCCATTGCCCTCAGGCCCTAGACCCCAAAATGTGGGATGGGGCGGGGGCGGGGGAGGGGGAGGAATCAGCCCCTTGCAGGCTGGAACTCTGCCAGCCTGCAAAGGAAAAGCCACGGTTTCCCACATTTTTCTCCTTTAAAGAAGAATCCATTGTTAAAGTTTGTTCACAACCCTTTCATATATTTTTGTGACACTTTTGGGCCACGACCTACAAAGTTGAGAAACACTGTCCTAGAGGACTCCCTTCTATGCCTGTGTCATGGACAGGAACAGTTGTGTGACTGGACTGCTAACGGTGTTTAACAAATGTTACTGGAAACCTATCACACAGGATATGGCTTTGAGATGAAAAGCTGCTGGCACTGGTAGGGCACTTAGAGGAGAAGCAGTTCTGGGAAAAAAAGGCATAGTAAAAACAGGAAGCCAGGCAGGTTGAAATGTGAAGTGAGCACAGCCCTTACGCAGCCTGTTGTTCCTCAGGCTGACTGATGGGTTTGGGTTTAATGCAAAGGTGGTTATCGATCCTTTGCTGTTTGGTCACAATGTATGATGGAGCTGCCCTCTGCCCTGTAGATGCGCTGTAACACCTCTGCTTCTTTTTCCCATTCCCCATCAGCTTGCTTTAATGACTCTTTTATTGACAATGCCGAGTCCTAATGAGGAGGAGTGCTGCACACTTCATTAAGGCTGCAGAGTGGATGCTTTCTACCAGCGACCAGGGCTGGTGGCTGCAATCAGGGCTGAAGAAGGGTGGGATGGCAAAAT